AGTCATAGAGTCATGGAGAAGGCATGGCCCTAGCCACAGGGAGCCTTTCTGTGCAGCTGACAGGGATGTCCTACCCTGGAGCCCAGGGGCTGAGTGAGCGGAAGTGTGGGTGCTGGTACAGGGCCATGGGCTGCCATGTGCCTCCGGCAACCCCCTGGGCTCTCAGCCCACCTCCTGTTCCCCTGCTCCAGGCTCCACCTGAAACCCTCGGAAGCCCCTGAACTGGACGAGGATGAGGGTTTTAGCGACTGGTCCCAGAAACCGGGGCCACAAGGGCAGCTCGCTGTGGATGGCGGAGAGGCCCCTCAAGGAGACAGCCCACAGGAGCAGGAGCACGAGGAGAACCGGCAAGTGGTGCAGGCCCTCCGTAAGCCCCTCAGCCAGCACCGCAGCACGGCAGCCCCTTGGATCCCCCTTCCCAGCCAGCCCCCCAAGATGCCCTTGTGGCTGTGAGGGGAAGAGATGGAGACGGGAGGGAGGCCGAGGGGCCTGCGGGGAGGGGGCGGTGAGGACATCTCATTCCTGGGCTCCCCAGGGCCCTGGGCCCCGTCCAGAGCAGCTGCGGCCAGGCCGGGTGTTGCCACATCAGCACACATCTGCAGCCCACTTACGTAATGGAGGCTCCGCGGCCCCCGCGCTGCCCGCCCCTTCCTCCCTCGGGTCTGGCCTGCCTCCATTCCCACGGAGGAGGGGAGCAGGTATTTCCAGATGTGGGCCTGTGAGGCAGCTTTCCAGATGTGCGGGTGTGTGTGCCTGTCTCAACCGGGGTGGGCGGGGGGCCCGGGGAGCAGGCTGCTCCCCAGGCCCTCTCTCCCCTCCCCACAATCTCAGGATCTGAGCTGTAGACAGCACCCGCGGGCCGCCCTTGAGGCTGGCACCTGTCACGTCCCAGCCTTGCCCTCAGGAGCTCTAAGCTTCGGGGACAGGGCCCCCCCATTGCCTGAAGTGGAACGAGAGCTCTCCCCTCTCTGGGCCACCGCCTGGCTTCCCTAGGCCCCCATTGCCCAACCCCCGTCTTTTCGATCCTCAACCAGGCTCCCCCACATCAGGGGCTAACTGGTCCTGGCTCGGCCCACTGCCTGCCATACCTCTTCTGGGTCTCAGTCTCCCCATCTGCCCCGGGGAGTTGCTGCCTGCTCTGCATTTCTGAGAGGGGCTGGGGCTCCCCACTCCCCGCCGGCCAGGCCAGCCGGGCTGCTTCCCGACAGCAGGGGGCACTTGGGCTCTTCTGGTGGAAGTCAGAGCTGGCGGCTCCACAGGCCTCCACCCCCCTGCACCTGCTGCCTGCCCACCCGCCTGGGCCCTGAATGGCCCTCTGTGTGGCTGCCCTGGCTCGGACCCCAGCCCACCTAGGGTGGGTGGGTCTGGGTCGTGGCTGGCACGTACACCACGAGGCCTGAGACCATGGAAAATGGCAGCGTTTCCCATCTTCTCCAGGTTCAGGCCTGCTCCGAGAGGCACTCCGGCCGCCGGCTGGCACCTCCCCTCCCCTGTGGCCAGCACAGCTGGCCCCTCTCCCCACGACCCCTGCCTGGCCTTGTCCTGCAGCTAACCCAGCGCCCAGGCCACCCACGAACCCTGCACTTCCCTCCCACTTGACATCCTCCTCCCTAAGACCTGTTGGCCCCACACACAGCATGGCTGGAGCAGGCCCCTAGGCAGCCCCAGCCCTAGGGGACCAGTCAGCCGAGGGCAGACACCATGACATGGGCAAGCGGGGCACGAGGGCTGGAGCTTTTCCAGGAAAGCTGTGCCCAGGCTCCGGGAGTGGCCCAGGACAAGCGGTGGGCCAGTGTCCCTGAGGATCCTGTCCGGTTCTGGGGCCCTTGGGCTTATGTCACCTAAGACAACGGGTTTCTGAATTCCTTGACACTCCACTCATCTGACTGCCTCCATTTTCCAGATGGGAAAACTGAGTCTTGAAAATGGGCGGGGACTTGAACCAAGCAATCAAATGACCCTAGATTGGCCCTCCCTCCCCCTCACAGGCCCCAAGGTCATGAACAGGAGGACAGTGATGGGCCAGGCCAAGCCGAAGTCCCCCTGGAAGGGCTGTGCCTGAGACCAGTGGTGGAGCCCCAGGAGGAGCCGGGTCTGGAGGAAACAGAGCCCCGTGACCTAGAGGAGCTGGCCCAGGACCCTCAGGGTCCAGCGGAGGCTGGGGAGGCAGAGGAGGAGGTGACAGTGACTCCACCTCAGGCACTCTGGGAGCACTCTAGCCCCTGGGTTGGGTGGATCTTTGCTGCCTGCACCCTTGGGGGTCTCATGGGGCTTGCCCTGGGGAGACCCAGCACCCTATACCCTCAGGCTCTGCAGCCCCTTCTTACTCCACATTCTTAGAGTATTGGGGTGTGGGGACACGGGGTAAATCTGTCCTCCACAATCATGAGCTCTGCCCTGGGCTCATGGGCCCCACAGTGGAGAATTCCAGAACGGAGCACGTCAGGGCTGGGAAGAACCTGAGGCCCAGGCAGGGGAGAGCTGTGCTCCAGCAGGCCCTGGGGTGGGGCAGGAGGGATGCACATGGCTGGCCATCCAGGCCCCATAGCCTCAGATTTTCTATCCCTAGCGCCTGCAATGTCAGCAGCCCAGGACACCCAGCCCCTTGGCCTTGGAGGGGACTGCCGAACACAGCCCGCCTCCCCTGAGCCCCACCACCAAGGTAGGTCAAGCCCCAAAGCCTACTCCCATTTTCTCTCCCAGTCTCATGACCAAACTGAAAACCCGAGACAGGCAGCCACATGTCAGCCCCAGGAACACAAGGGCATGTCCAACTTGTTCTCTGCTAATTCCCCCAGCACCTGGCACTCAGAAAATCCTTGTGGTTGTGGTTGGAGTGATGGATAAGTGGATAGAAGGAAGTAAAGAAGGTTGGGTGGATGGGTAGGTGGGTGGGTGGATGGATGATGGACGGACGGACGGACAGACGGATGGATGGACGGATGGATGGATGGATGGTTGGGTGGATGGTTGGATGGATGGATGGATGGAAGGGAGGGTGGGTGGATGAATGAATGGATAAAAGTAAGGAAAAATGGTTGTATGGTTGGCTACCTGGGGCACAGGAAGCGGAAGGCAGAGTTTAGCCCATGAGCACAAGCCAGCAGGAGGCAGATCTCAACTCAAATCAAGCCAAAATTTCTATTTGGCGAAGTTGCCCCAAGATGGTCTGAGTTGCTAATATGAGGGATGCTCTCTGTCCCTGAGTTCAAGGTGGCAGGAGATGGTCCTCTTTCTGGATGGTGAATTTCTCCAGAGTTGGGAGATCAGTATAGAAGCCATTCCCACACAGCTCAAAGATGCCAGGCTTCTCAACAGACAGGAGTCTACTGTACACTCTTGTGAATTAGACTGTGAGCTTTGCCCTGGCCACCCAGGCTTACCTCCCTGCCCACTCCCCACAGCTCATCGACAGAACCGAGTCCTTGAACCGCTCCATAGAGAAGAGGTATGTCTTACCAGACCCAGGCTCAGAACTGGGGTTTCTCCATGAGGGGAGTGAGGAGAGGGACTGAGAGGGTGGAGATAATGGGGCATGAGTGTGCTCTGGCAGGGACTCAGAGTTGGGTGAGGAACAGCCAGAAGGTGTGTGGCTTGACACTTCTCCTACCCTCCAGTAACAGTGTGAAGAAGTCCGAACCAGCCCAACCTATCTCCAAGATTGATGAGCGCCTAGAGCAGTACACCCAGGCTGTCGAGGTACACTCAGTCCCCTCCTCTGCAGTTGGATGCCTTCTATTCATGCACCCATTCTTCCACCAGCTCACACTCCTTCACCCAAACCACTCACCCCTACCAACCCACATTCCCCCACAATCCCACCCGCTGCCACGCATCCCACACTCGCCCATCAACCTATTAGCTCCCCCTCAAACTCACGCTCTGTCACTGATCTACCCACTCCCCTGTCAACCCACACTCTCACACCAACCCATGCTTCCCCATCAACCCACACTCCCCACCAACCCACAAACCTCCACCAACCCACTCTCCCCCACTGACCCACACTCCTCCATAATGTATGCCTCCCAACCAACCCATGCTCCTTCACCCAACTCATGCTTCCCCACTAACCCAAAATCCTCCATAACCCATTCTTCCCCATCAACCCACACTCCCACCAACCCATGTTCTCTCACCATCCCACACTCTCCCACCAACCCAAAGTCCTCCATAACCCATGCTTCCTCACCAACCACATTCCCCCACCAACCCACTCTCCCCCCACCAACCCACACTCCTCCATAACCTACACTCTCCCACCAACCCACACGCTCTCCCACAAACTCATGCTGTCCCACCAATGCAAAGTCCCCCATAACCCATGCTCCCCCACCAACACACCCTCCTCCACCCAACCCACATTCCCCCACTGACCCACACGTCTCCATAATCCCAGCTCTCCCACCAACCCAAAGTCCTCCATAACCCACACTCCCACAACCCAAAATCTTCCATAACTCATGCTCTCCCACCTACCCAGAGTCCTCCATAACCCATGCTCCCCCAGCAACCCATGCTCCTCTGCCCAATTCATGCTTCCTCACCAACCCAAGATCCTCCGTAACTCATGCTTCCCCACCAACCCACACTCCCACCAACCCACGCTCTCCCACCAAACCAAAGTCCTTCATAACGCATGCTCCCTCACAGACCTATGCTCCCCCATAACCCACAGTCCTCCATAAACCATGCTCTCCCACTTATCCGTGCTCCTTCACCGACCCATACTCCCCCACCAACCCAAAATCTTCCATAACCCACACTCCCCCACCAACTCACGCTCCCCCATAACCCGCACTTCTCCATAACCCACACTCCTCTGTAACCCACCTCCCCCACTGACCCACACTCTCCCACCAACCCACATTCTTCCAGCCCTATGCTATGAGCCATGTGAAGATACCCCACATCTGTACTGTATTCCACCATATCACCTGTGCACCCCAGAAGGAGATGTGTTCCACAAGTGTGCCCAGTGAAGGCACACATCAAGAGCCTAGCCCATCCTGGATTGGGAAAACATTCCAGGGGCAGATAAAAAGATAGAGGTAACATCATTTGTGTCTTGGAGGGTCTCGCAGTGGGACCTTCCGATGTGTCCCATGAGAGCCCTCCACTAAAGCATTCCTGGGGCTCTGTCTTCTCCTCAGACTGCTGGTCGGACCCCCAAGCTAGCCCGCCAGACCTCCATAGAGCTGCCCAGCATGGCCGTGGCCAATACAAAGAGTCTGTGGGAGACAGGAGAAGTGCAGACCCAGTCCACATCCAAGGGCCCCTCCTGCAAGGTAGGACCCTTCCCGTGTGCATGGCTGGGTTAGGAGGACAGGGCCCAGGACCTTAGCAGCAGGCTGGGCCCCCTTGGAAAACCAAGTATGAGACCACCCAGGATGAAATGTGGTGGGCAGGGCACTGGAGCATCTGGGGGGCTGGGGTTAGCCATTTGGGCTTCCTAGCATTGGAGGCTTCGAGAAGACAGATTGGCAAGGTGAGGACAGGATGGTGCCTTGTTCATGTTCCCTGCTCTTCCCCCGGGCTCTCGCACAAAGAGGCAAGGTGGGCAGGCCCCAGGCCCCCTGGCCAGGCAAGGCCAGCCTGGAGAGAAGGGCCCAGGGCTTCTAGCCCCCCAACCAAGGGCTGCACCTATGACCTGTTTCCTCCTGCTCCCAGGATATTGTCGCTGGAGACATGAGCAAGAGAAGCCTCTGGGAGCAGAGAGGTGGCTCCAAGACCTCATCAACAGTTAAGGTAGTCTGCAAAATGATTGGGGCAGGGGTGGGGTGGGTACAGCAGGTGAGGGCCAGGAGAGGCTGTCCTCCATGCAGGAGTACTGCCTCCTTCCTGTGCACTCACCTTTGCTCTTGCTCCCCTTCTCCAACAGAGCACCCCGTCTGGGAAGCGGTACAAGTTTGTGGCCACTGGGCACGGGAAGTATGAGAAGGTGCTCGTGGATGAGGACGTGGCACCCTAGATTGCCGGTCCCGGTGAGTCTGAGGCAGCGGCCAGAGCGCAGTGCTGCCCATGAACGCGCCATTTTGGAACACAGGAGCTCGGGTGGGACCTGGTTACCAGCTACCAGGGTGGGGCTTAGGGGTGAACGCCTGGCCTGGGGGCAGGCGGAGACCCTGACTCAGCTCCCTGGACCTTGCACCAGGCTTGGACTCTGTTGGTTTTGCTGGCATCACCCTGGCTCAGCCCAGCACAGCCGCCGCTCAGCAGGAAGCTCCTTCACCTGGAGGAGACAGGGAGCCCCACCTAGGCTTCCTGTGGTGCAAGGCCAGCCCCCACCGCAGGAGCTGGAGTCAGTGGAAGTAGACGGGACAAGCCCAGGGAGCCTGGTTCCACGCCCCTCGGTGGGTTTGGGGTCCATAGGGGCCAGGACCTTGGAGGTTTGCCTGGTGTTCCCACACCCTCCCTGCTGCCTGGTGATGAGACAGGAAGTGACTCCACGGCCTTGGTTGGACACACGTTTGTTTATTAGTGGCCTGGGTCGCAGGCTCCATGGGCAGCACCGTTCCAGCCTGTGGTGGGACAGCTGGCCCCCACCAACTGCTGCCTCCTTGCTGGGTCCTGCTGCTTCCCTGGTGCCTCACCTCCCTCTCTCCCTTCTGGTATGACAGCCCCCCTCAGAGCCCTGGGCACTAGCCCCAAGTCAGGTCTTGCCTGGTTGGAGGCTGGGGCTCCCAAAGCTGCATGAGCCTAGGGTCCCCTTCCCTGCTCTTGCCCTGCTCGGCCCGGGACGGAGAACACTACTCCTTATCCCAGCCATCAAATCGAAGACCTCTCCTGTTAGCGACCCTCAAGGCTGCTTCTCTCCATGGGTCAGCCCGGGGTGGAGGGAAGCGATGGGGGCGCCCAGGGGCTGGGCCAGGGGCATGGCTGGGCCCCTCCTCCACCCCCTATCAGCCCCTTCCCGCCTGAACTCTGATCATCTCACATCCATGCCAACTCCCACCGGGCCTGGGCCCCCAGCCCCTCCTCAGGGCCTCCTTCCTGCACCCCCAGCCTGGGGCTGGCTCCCCGCCATCCGTCAGGGCCGCCAAACTGCCGACTCGGCCGACCGTGCCGAGCTCTGAATCACCCTGACCACTCCTGCTTCCCACCACAAACATAAATCTGTCCCTGAATCGTTCACAGCCTGGGCGGAGGGAGACTGCAGTCTGGACCCAGGAGCCCCTCCTGCTTAGCCAGGAGTTAATCACCCTGAGCCGGCAGCACCCCGAGGCCCAACGCCCTGTGCCCCAGCCCTCCCTTGAACAGCGCACCCAGGGCCCAAGCCTCTTTGGAAAGTGGGCAGAACCAGGCCTCACTGTGACCGCCTCCCGGCCACCCACATGTGAGGTCAGGGGTCCGACGCTCTGCCTCAGAGCAGACTTGGGGGTCTTCTTGTCACCGAGTACTTCCCCCCGGCACCCCCACTCTATCCTATGTGCACCCCTTCTGGTCCCCTCCTTAGAGGACCCTCCACCCCCCTGAATCTGCCAGCTCCCAAAGTCACATGTTAACCGACTCATCCCACCTCCACTCTGCCCTGCTGTCACCACCCACGAGTCCCTTATGCCCCCGCCCACCTGACCTGTCCCTCTCAGCCTCTCACAGGCCTCAGCCACTGAGCCACCCATCGCTCCCCTCTTCGGCATCCCCGCCCCGGCCCTGCTGGCCCGGGTACCCTCACGTCCCAGCTAGACTGCTCCTTCCGTCACTCTTGGTCGTGCTGCCCTGGAGCCCCTGTGGCCACCTCACTGGAGATGCCAGCCGGCCGCAGTCCGGTTGAAGTTCTTGGGCCGGGGGCTCAGCAGCAGGACAGGGAGGGCCTCGGGTGGGGGCCGCGCGGCCGCCTCCTTCAGCTTGCGGGCATCGAAGCGGGGTCTGTAGAGGAAGGGAAAGCGGGACAAGCCAGCCGGTGCACGTGTTCCCTCGTCGGGCCTTGCTGAGTGGCCCTGGGCCTTGGCCACTGACATGCAGTACAGCACTGCGTCCCACATCTTGGAGGCCCGGAAGGCGGGGGGCCGGGGTGCTGGGAGGGCAGGTGTTGCCTCCTCCTGCTGCGTGGCCCCAGAGCTCTGTGCTGGGCTCGGGGCTGGGGGCTCCCCCTCTGTCACCATGAGCTGCTTCTTCAGGCGCGTCCAGCCGCTGAGCCTGGGCTTGGGTGCCACTCTGGGGACAGGGCAGGGATGGGGGCCCAATGGCAGGGCAGGGGATGAGGCCCCGCAGGGACTGCAGACCCGTTTGGCCTCGTCGTTGGGGCCGGCCACAGTGGGCTCCTCCATGGACTGGGGTTCAGGGGCCTCAGGGGCTGGGCTGTGAGCCGGGGATCCTGGCGAGCGGTAGGTGGGGGCTATGGGCACCACGATCCGAGTGCTGGCCTCTCTGGGTGCCGAGGCCTGGAAGCTGGGTGGAGACCTGGGCACAGGGGCCTCCTCAGGCTGGGGGCTGGTGGCCTGGGCCCTGGCGGGCAGTGGGCAGATGTGGGCCACTGGGATCAGTGGCTGGGGGCTGGGGGTAGTCGAGGCTGCAACTCTGTCAGTCCTGGGGAACTCGGGAGTCCTCGAGTGTGGGGATGGGGTGAGTCGGCTCTGCACCTGGCTGACGCGGGTGCCCCCAGCCACCAGGGCTGAAACGGGGGCAAAGCCACCGAGGGGCGTGGCGGGCTCTGCAGCCTCAACGTGGGCAGCCAGGCTGCTGCGCTGGGTGAGGCTGGAGGAGAAGGTGGACTTCTGCAGGGGGGACGCCACGTGGTGGACGGCCAGTGTGTGTGGGGAGCGGGATGCGGTGGCCACCGCCTGGGGGGCCTCAGTGGGGCGCAAGGCAGCAGGGCACGGGATGGTGGGGCACAGGGTAGTGGCACACGGGGTGGTGGCACATGGGGTGGCAGCCTCCTGGTCGTGGCTTGCCTCGTTCACGGGGGACAGGGAGGCACGGAAGGCCCCAGGTGGAGCGGGCAGCCCCCCGATGCTCATCTTCTTTCGCGCCACCTTCCTCAGCAGCTTCTGCAGACGCAGGTTGTCCTTGCCCGGCTTGGGCAGCAGGGGCGGGGGCGGGCCAGGGCGGCCCTGAGGGCAGGGGCAGCTGGGGGGCATCGCCGTGGCCGAGATGAGCATCCTGCACCCTGGGGGGAGCACAGCGGTCAGGACAGCCCTCACCTCCCCCTGTGGGGCTCCCGCTTGCCCCCTGCATGTCGAGGACCCTGGGGCCGAGTGGACACAACTCAACTGTTGACAACTCTCTGTCCTGGGCACTTGGTACCAGCCCGGCGTGCCCCATTGTGTCTGTACGTCTGAGCGCACCCAGGCCCAGCCTTGCCTCTTGCCTCCAGGTGCCCCGGCCAGCACAAAGTGGGCGCCGCCTGTGTGCACTGCATGAGCCAGGCCTCGTGGGTGGCCGAGCAGGGATGGAGGCCGAGGGTGGGCTCTGAGTGGGGCCGGGGGGTGGTTGGGGGCTGGTGTTTGGCCAAGCTGCTGGCCGCAGACACGTGAGGGGCGCCGCGCCGCCGCCGGCCCAACCACAGGCGCCACTGGGAGCCCGCGGTGAGGGGTGGCGGCCAACGGGCCCCTCGGGAAGCCGAGGTGCACATCAGAGGTGGAGTGGCCAGAGGTGGGAGCAGTTTCCGCTGAGCTACACTAAACGGGATATTCCCACAGAAGTCCTGGCCAGGGTGGTCCTGGCTGAGCCACCGCCCACCCTGCTTTCTGGGCGCCACGTGTTTGCAAGGACGTTGACAAATGGCGTCTGGGCCGAGCGAGAAGCTGTCTGGTTTAGGGGAGGAGGGAGGCCGGGAGGCCTGGGGGCCGCTGGGTGGGGGCTGGCTCTGCCGGGCAGGAATGGATCTGCTGGGAGCGACCGGGTGGGGTCTGTCCCTGGGGCTGGCTCTCCCTGCTAACCATCCGGGGCCAGGATCCCGGGAGCCACAGGCCTGGTTCAGCGGAGGTGCCAGGCCACGGGCAGACAGGCGGTGAGCAGTGTTGCCTCTACCCCAAGTGAGAACCCTGACCCAGGCTCAGGGGCTCGTGCTGGGGAGTAGGTTTCCAGGGAGGAGGCCATGGGGAGGAAGGCTCCGTGCGTCGGTGGCCCGAGGGAGAGGGGGCCGCCCAGGAAGGGGAGAGGGGCAAGTGGGCAGGGCCGGGCGGCCATTAGAGAGAGACTTGGAAGCTGGGCAGCGGGACCTGGGGGCAGCAGACCCTCCTGGCCTCCAGCCTAATGCCCCATGTCCCCTCTCCCCGCTTGTGTTTCAGCCTCCGTGACTCGGGGTGCAGCCAGCATCACCCTCCACATCCAGGGGAGACTCTAGCCAGAGCCCTCCTGGCCCCAGGAGGAAGCCACTTCTGAAGGCCTCCCCAGCCTCCCTGCACCCCTCTGACCCCCACCATCATTGCTGTCACCTCCTTTTGTTCCTGGACCCTTCAACTCTCTCCCTTCCACCCCTCACCCCAGCTGTGCTTCTCACCAAGGGAGGAGGAGAGGGATGCTCTTAATTGCTGGCACAGGGCGGGCAGCCCAGAGTGCCCGAGGAGGCAGAGGACTGAGGCCCTGCCCGAGCAGAACAAGGCTTGGCAGCCCGCCGGCCCCCAGGGCTCCACTGGAGACCTCCGGTTGTGCTCAGGACCCTGCATCCCTCCCTGCCCCCTGCTGCACCCCTCTGCCCCCGCGAACTTGCTGTGTGTAATAAAGCTCCCGTGTGTCCCATGCGCTGCCTCTCTGGTGCTCACTAATGGGGGTGGGATGGGGAGCGGGCGGCAGGAAACAGAAGCCCTTGTCAGGGGCCAACCCACCCCATTGCACAGACGAGGGGACCCTGGCCTCTAGCCTCCGTATTCGGGGTGCTCTCTCCCTCTCCGTGGCTTTCCACAGCTTGAGATTCTGGGATCTGAGGTGTCGGGTGGCCAAGTTGGGATGCGCACCATGGGTGGGGTCCAGGTCCTCCTCTTCCAGGTGTCTCTGACACCTGCCCCCTTCAACGGCCGAGGATAAACTTCACAGCCCTGAAACATGGGTGTGCTTGGGGTCTGTGCCCCTAGGCTGTGTGCTCCCTGAGGATAAGACTTGCGTGGAGCTCATCCCCATCCCCCATCCAGCACCCAGAAAGGGATCAGTGGAGGTGGATGGGTGGACAGATGGATGGATGGGTGGATGGATAGAAGGGATGAGAGCCAGACAGATGGAAAAATAGTTGTGTGGAGAGTGGATGGGAGAAAGATGGAGGAATGGTTGGGTAGATAGGTGGATGTGTGCACAAAAGAATTGGTGTATCATTGGATGAATGGATGGATGGATGGATGGATGGATGGATGGATGGATGGATGGATGGGTGGGCAGAAAGAAAGAGGTTAGGGAGGAAAGAAAGAAGAAAGGGAAAGAGAAGGGGTGAATGGATATATAAAAATGAATGACTGAGTGGTTGGGTGATTATGATTACAAGTACAGGAGGGTGAATGGGTGGATGGTGAATGGGAGCATGGATGGATGGAAGTGGGTGATGGGTGCGGGGCAGAGGGTTAATGATGCACAGGATGGAGGAGGGTGGACGGGAGGATAAATGGGTGGAGGAGGGGAGGATGGACAAGTGCCTGGAATGGGAGACTGGGGGGAGGACTCTGGGTCCACTGCCCTCCCAGTCTGAGGAAGCCCTCCCAAGAGCAGGCTTCCCCTGCAGCCTTTAATGCTCTAGACCCAGCTGGGCCATTAACTTGGCCCTCTGCTTGAAGACTCTGCTGTCTGAAGGGTCCATGGTAAAACTCTGCCAGCCTCATGAGGGCCATCCTGATCACAGAGGACTAAGAGAAGTCAACAACAACACTACCATGGCCTTCAAAGCGAGGCCAGCAAGCATCTCCGGGGATATGGCGCCCTCAACCTTTCTACCTCCTGGACAGAGCGTTCACCTTGGGCAGCAAGCAGGGTCCAATGCCAGGGACCAGGGTGGGCGGCACGAAGGCCAACAGGTGGGAGAGTCCAATGGTACCCTTCCCCCCAACACTTGGGGTCCTCAGCACCCCCTGGCTCCGCCGAGGGAATGGGGACCCACGGTGGGCCCCTTTGCCCTTGGCATGGACTCTATCCCTGATGCACACTGGGGGGCTGAGCCCCTGCCTCTTTCTGCCTGGCCACCGAAGAGGCTGAGAGGCTCAGAGGGGCCATGCCTCAAGACTGCCCAGTGAGGGATGTCCCTCTGGCACTCGCTGCTCCCCAGCTTTGGGCACAGAGCTGGGCCCTACACAGTAGACACCCTTAGGTACCCACACGGCAAGTTGATGGATCTACAAAGTCACGAAGAAGCTCTTTGGGCATCTGGGCAGCAGCTGCCGGGGTTGGGGAGGCTGGGTCCCCACCAAGTGCTGTGTCAGCTGCTGCCATCTCAGCCTGGCAGAAACTGAGCTTTGGGCTGGCCAGCCACAAGGCCACAGCTGGCACCAGTGCGGGCACCCTGGTCAGCCCAGGGCTCCCAGGACGGCAGTGCCCTTGGGCTCTGTCACCCCCCTACCACGCACACTGGGGTCCAGGAGCCCAGATTGAGGGGCCCCAGACTCCTGCAGCTCCCGGGGTCACCCTCACCAACAGCTCGCACCCTGAGGCTCAGGGATGTAGTCCCCTACCTTCTCCCTGCTCCCCTGGGCTCCACTCAGTATTTGCCAACTTCAGAAGCCCCCTGCTCACTGCCCCCAGAAACTCGGCGCTGTCCAGTCAGTTCTCAAACTCTTTCTGGGTTTGAAGTCAGTCCCCTGCCCCAACCCAGGCTGGGCTCCCCCGTATCCCTCACCCCCAGCCCTGGTGCAGGGAGGGCCGTGTGTCCTCCCCCAGCCTGGCTCCCCTAGCTCCCCTAGACCCCTGCCCTGCCCTCTTCTTCCTCACCCCTGTCAGGCCTGGGGTCTGGGGTGTGGCTTACCTGTCCACGGCCCTTGAGCCCGCGGGTGGCCTGACCAGCAGTGCCCACTCAATGCCGGGCAGCCCACGGGTGAGGCCACTGATACCCAAAATAAAACCTGTCCCTCCTGACCTCTCGTCCGCTCGCTGGCATAGTCTGCTCACGGCCAGCCCGGTCTCTGGAGCACCTGCCAGCGGCTGTGGTGCTGAGCAAGCAGCCACCCTCCTCTGCTGGCCGAAAGGGGCCACTGCAGGGGCCGCGTCCACCTGTTCGGCCCGCAGACACCCTGGGCCAGGGTCAGGTGCAGCCAGTGTCTCCCTCACGCCCACGTGTGGACAGAGCTGGGTGGACATAAGCCTCCCAGACGAGTCCCAGCATAGGCTGGAGACGAGGTCGCATCTCGTGCTGTGTACACCTGCCCATGCGTGGGGTCCCGCCCAATGGCAGGGACCTGCTGTGTGAGACCCTGTGGCAGCGGCTCTATCGATGATCCACAAGCGCAAGACACTGGTCTTGGTGGCCTGCGGGAGTGTATAGGTGGAGACGAAGCATGCAGGGCTAGAAGGGGGCTCAGTCCAGGAGGGCGGGGACTTCCCCAGTACTCCAGCCCTCAGGGGCCCCCAGTGCCGGGCGGCCCGGGGCCAGGTGGGCTGGGGAGGGACTCTGTCCAGTAGCATGGGGTCGGTCTTCCCTTGCTGCATGACTGGGGTCCGTCCTTGCCTGTCCCCATTCTCTGTGGCCTGCTTCCTAGCACGTAGGCCACAGGGACCCAGCTGGGGGTGCAGACCCAGGCTGGAGGTGGGTCTGCGGTGTCCGTGAGCCTCCTGCTGGGTCAACCTCGGGAGGGCAGGAACCTCAGTGGTGTCTCTCAGGACACACTCCTGTCCTGGGTGCCGCCCGTGGTGCCCCTGACAGCTCTAACCCTAACTCAGGCAGCTCATTGAACCCCCATGTGTGTCAGCAGACCCAACCCCTGAGCCTGTGGGGCCTGGGGGGAGCAGGCGAGCAGGGCCACGGAGCCAGCCTCAGTTTCCCTCAGCCAAGGGGCAGGGCTGCTGGAGCATGCAGGAGCCTCAGAGCCCACGCGCGGGGGTGTCTGTCAGTTGGGTGGTGCCATCTGGAGTCCTGTGGAAAGAAAGCTGGGCCCCTGGGCACCCGGCCAGGCTGCTTCCAAGTAGGACACTGTGTCCTGCAAGGGAAGAAGGCCTGGGGGGCTGGGAGTCCAGCAGCAGGGGCTCTGGCCCATGAGACAGCAGCCATGGGAGATGTGCCTAGACACAAGCAGCTGGGACTTGGTGGGTACTTCCAGTGCCCGCATACCCTGCCTGCCTTCTGTGCCCACCTACCCTGCCTGCCCACTGTGTCCACCCCGGAACCAAGACGGGTCCAAGGGGAGTTTGCACAAGTGAGGGCTGGCATCCAACAGAGTCTCAGTCCCATGGGGTCTCTAGGACCTGGGCTGTCCTTCTGATGGAGAGGGGGTAGGGGTACTAGGGGCCCCACACTGGGCCAACACCAGCCGAAGGAGAGACCTCAGCTGTGCCCCTGGGGCCCCCCATCCCTTCCTTCCTTTGAGAATTTGTCTGCTGGAGCGGGGGGGAGGGTGTGGCTGGAGGGGGGTAAAAATAGAAGCTGACACTCAGGAGAAGGAGAACTATCTCCTTCCCAGGAGCGCCCTCCCATCCTCACCTCCTCCTCTGGCCATTCCTATACTTGGTAAGGGGCTAATGTGGACACAGCCCCTTCCCTCCCTGTGTGTGCCTCGGGCCCCTGCCACTGGCCAATGGGCTGCGGGCAAAGATCAAATGTCACTATAACACGGGGGCATGAGGCCGAGCGGGCAGTGCTGCAGCTGGTCCTCAGGGAACTCGGTCCTTCTCCAGACTCGCTGCCCAGGTTGGTGCGGCCAGGCAGGGGCCAGGCGGGGGCCAGGCCGGGACCCTCTGAGCTGGGCTGGGCTGGGCTGGGCAGGGCCCATGGGTAAGGTGCATTCTGGGGCTCCAAACTCTTGCATCTTGGGGACCCCGTGAAGCCACCCACAGAGTCTGGGATGGAGGCATGGAGGGATGATGCTCTCTGAACATGGGACAGACAAGGGAGAAGGGTTCTCAAGCTAGAATGGGGGGACAGAGGGGTGGGAGGACCGGGGGGGGTCTTCAGGGAACCCCAAAGGGAGGCCACGCAGGAGGCTGGTTGCTCATGCCCACCCCGGGCCATCTCGTCCTGTCCTTGCAGGCTGCTCTGAGCTGAGGACCCTGGGCTCACTGCTAAAGTGGCCATTATCCCTAATGCTGCCATTTTGTAGACAGGATGAAAACCACTGGGGGTGGTGGCTGGTCTGAGGTCACCCAGGAGAACACCCGTGGGTAGGGAGTAGCTGAGACTCATGAACTCTGGCTTCTAGCACCTTGAGGGCCAGCTCCCAGGGGTCAAGGGGCTGGGCTGGGGCACAGGAAGGCATGAGGAGCTGGGCTGCCATCCCTGATGCCCCCCAACACCCCTCCCACCCTGCCCCTGCCCCCATCTGCCCAGGGCTCGGTGGCCCCTCCCGAGGGGCCCAGGCCCAGCCCCCCGTACACCCCAGCCCCTTCGGCCCTTTCCAGTGTTCTTGGCCGTGCTGGGGACAGGCGGGGCAAGTAGTCATTGACCGAACTGAAAATAGGGGCCAGAGCAGTGAGGGGGGGTGATGTGGCCGGCGTCCCATGGCAAGGGAGTGGCAGGGCCTCCTGTCTTCCCCTCCCCCATCCCAGACCTGTCACCTGGGAAGGCGGGAAGGAGGACATGCATCCCCCAGGAATGCTGACCTCAGAGGCTATATTCATGCCTGCGCCTCAGGGGGGAGATGGGGCCTGACCACTGGCTGCATTCTCAGCTGTCCAAAACCTGTCTCCCCGTCTTTCACCCCTTCCTCCCTCCAGAGGACCAGGGGCACAGAGACCCCTAGGTGGGAGCAGGAGAACCAAGGGCCTCCAAGCCCTCCCGGAGGAGGGGGCCAACCAGCCTCAGTGGGAGCAGCAGAGGCAGAGACAGTCCCCCAAAAAAGTCCTCTTGGGACACCCCTGCCTGGGAGTGTGGGAGCCCTTACTGGGTGCCTTTTGAACCCCCAGCCCAGAAGGGCTGGTGACACTGAAAATGGGGGGCCAGAGCAGCGGGGGGGGGGGATGATGTGGCCAGGGTCCCATGGCAGGGGGCGCTGGGCTGGCCGGGCTCAGGGGCAGGCGCCTGTGCAGCCCTTCCCCCACCACTGTCTTGGGTTTCTGGGCGTCTTGCTCTTGGCTAATTTTGGTGCCTATTCCTGGACACCCAGCTGCCACCAGTTCCTTAAAGATAATCTGCTCCTGGGCCTGGGCCAGGACCGCCACCCTCCTGGGGCAGCCGACAGGTGCCAGGGCCCAGCAAGAGTGAGGGGTGGGCACAGCCGGGTGGTCCGGGCTCTCACACTTCTCACAGTCCCTCTAACCCTACGGAGGGGATGGGGAGAGGCCTGCTAGGTCCAGGGCCAGGGCCAAGGCAGAACCAGAGGGGCAGGTGGGGCCGGGTGAAGGGGGCTGCAGCCACCGAGAGGCTCAGCTGGCTGGCCGGGCTGAGGAACAATAGGCTGAGGGCTGAGAAGCCAGGCTGTGACTAGAGGGGGCAGCAGAGGCCCGGGATGGACCCGGAGGCTGCGAGGCCCCTGCTAGGCAGTTAGCAGAGAGCTGCTGGTTGATTTTGCACGGAGCTTAAGTTGCTCTGGGAAATGAACATTCTTGACAGCGGGTTTGGAGAACAGTTCCCACCTAAGAAATGCAATGTAGATGCGTTTTTAGATGATGAACTTGTGTTTTTCTTATACGAAGCTCCCTGGGGGGCCAGAGCGATTGTCTTCAAGCAAGCTGTAATGTGTTGTCAGGAACTTGGGTTTTGAAACCCTGAGCCAACATTCGGAGGCAGCTGTGAGGCCCCCGGCCCCCGGCCGCCCGCGCAGCAGCCAGCCCACGGGCAGACAGTCCCCGAGCGCTGAGCCGCACCTGGCCGCATCCGGCCTGGGGCTTCCCACAGACATTGACAAATTCAAGAGCGTCCTGGGGCCTGGGGAGGCGGCCGTGGAGGGGTGGGGGCAGAGGGGCCATCTGCAGCCCTGCAGCCCATGTGGGCTTCGTGCGGGCATGGGGTGGGTGGGTGGACACAGGGTGGAGCAGCCAGAGCCCGTCCCGTGTCCCCGTGTCCCCGTGTCCCCATGTCCTGTCCTTGGCTCAAGGATCTTGAGCACTCAGTCTGGCTATCTACCTACCAGCTCCTGTTCTCCGTGGTTTTGAGAGGGTCTGCAGAGGGCTGAGGGGCACACACAGGAGACCTCCGGGCTCCCCCTTAATCAAGAGAACGCACAGTCCTGGCGGGAAGCCGTTGGGTACAGAAGGGGACTTGGGGCTCCCACGCGGAGGAGGGGTTCTGCGGGGGGCTGTGGGGCAGGCATTCTAGGGGAGGTCCAGGTGGCCCATCTGGGGGAGCCAGGGCCCAGTGATCTCGGGGTTCTTGGAGGACCCCTCCCCCAGGCTAGACCCCTGGGCAAGACCACCCAGAGGCAGGCCAACGGCCACATCAGCAGGACTTGGACGGGCGGTCCCTGGCCTTGGACAAGCCTGTGCATTCTGGATGACCCTAGGCGGGGTGTGCTGGGGGAGGCTGTCGGCCTGGGTGGGGGTGGATGACCGTCCACTCCAGCTCCAGCCAGAACGAGTGCTGGGCAGGCGGGAGGGGGCTGGAGCCTTGGAGGAAGCAAGGGGCCTGCTGAGGGGCCCAAGGCCGGGTGGTGGACCCACCCAAGGCCCAAGAGTTGGCCCTCGACTCCTGCCTATGAATGTCTCCTCACAACCTCCCAGCTCCAAGAGCCCACCCCACCCCCTCGCCTGTGCTTCTCAACCAGGGCCACTCCTGACCCTCCTCTGGGTCTCTGTCTCTGCAGGAGCAACCCACCCCCACCATGTCTGACAACGAAGTGTGAGTACCAGTCTGAGTCGCCAGCCCCGCCCCAGCCTTAGGACCCTCCAACCCTCGGCTTACGTTCAAGGAATGCTTTCAGGCTCGAGGGGCTGCCGGTGCTTGTGACAAACCAGCATGAGCAAAGCCCACCCCAACTTCTCCCTTCTCTCTCTCTCTCTCTCTCCCCTCCAGTGAACATGTTGAGGGTAAGTGCCAGATCCCGAGTCCTTCCCTTTGCCTCCTCCTACACAGAAGACCACACTCGGGGAGGGCGTGTGTTTGGTTCCTGACGGCACATCTCTCCTTGGGGAACACCCTGGCCGGGATGCCTCAGACCTACTGTGTTCAGTGGGTGGATTTCAGAGTGACCCCCCCCCCCATGACAGTGGGCTCACCCTTCTTGTCCCACCCCTTGGGGCCTTGTCCTTCTGGACACCACCAAGAAGTTTGCACTGGAAGGGGTTGTCCGCAAGGCTGGGCAGAGGGGGCCTGTGGAACCACTATGCCGTGCTCCCCATGGCAAGATGGCGGCATCCAGGCTTCGGCCCTCCCTGCAAACGTCTTCCTCTTCCAGTGCTGCCCAGCCTCCTCTGGGTCCTCTTCTGTTCCTCTGCCCTGGGGACTCCGTTAACTGTCCACTCTCTCTTGTTTTATTCCAATACAGAACAGTACGAAGAGGAAGGTAATTCCAGCAGCCTCTGGAGGCCCCCTAGAGCCCCCATCCTCCCTCCTCTTAACCTCTCCTTTTCCGGCTTGACCCTGTGCAGCCTCACCCACCATGGCCTCTCCTGACCTCCTTGACCTTGCCCATCCTCCTTGACCTTGCCCGTCCTCCTTGACCTTGCCCATCCTCCTTGACCTTGCCCATCCTCACCTCCCCCATGACTTCCCGTGCCATCACCACTGACTTCCTGTCTCTTTAACCCATGAATGGACTGACACACTCATCCATGGTCATTAATACCTCATCCTCTTTGCAGTGTGGTCATTAATACCTCATCGTCCTCGCGGTGCAGTCATTAATACCTCATCCTCTTCGTGGTGTGGTCATTAATACCTCATCGTCCTTGCGGTGCGGTCATTAATACCTCGTCGTCCTCACAGTGCGGTCATTAATACCTCATCTTCCTCACGGTGTGGTCATTAATACCTCATCGTCCTCACGGTGCGGTCATTAATACCTCGTCGTCCTCGTGGTATGGTCATTAATACCTCATCGTCCTTGCAGTGTGGTCATTAATACCTCATCCTCATCGCGGTGCGGTCATTAATACCTCATCATCCTCGCGGTGCGGTCATTAATACCTCATCCTGATCGCGGTGTGGTCATTAATACCTCATCCTCATCGTGGTGCGGTCATTAATACCTCATCGTCCTCGTGGTATGGTCATTAATACCTCATCGTCCTCGTGGTATGGTCATTAATACCTCATCCTCATCGCGGTGCGGTCATTAATACCTCATCCTCATCGCGGTGCGGTCATTAATACCTCATCGTCCTCACGGTGCGGTCATTAATACCTCATCGTCCTCACGGTGCGGTCATTAATACCTCATCGTCCTCGCAGTGTGGTCATTAATATCTCATCGTCCTCATAGTGTGGTCATTAATACCTCATCGTCCTCGTGGTGTGGTCATTAATACCTCATCCTGATCGCGGTGTGGTCATTAATACCTCATCCTCATCGTGGTGCGGTCATTAATACCTCATCGTCCTTGTGGTGCGGTCATTAATTCCTCATCTTCCTCATGGTGTGGTCATTAATACGTCACCGTCCTCACGGTGTGGTCATTAGTACCTCATCGTACTCGCGGTGTGGTGTTGATTTGATCATTGCCATTCTCACTCAGATTAGTATCAAGTGCCTTGTCCTACACGACACTGACTTCTCCTTCTCTCAGCATCTCTCTCTCAGCCAGTGTCTCCCTCGCTGTGTCTGTCTATCTGTCCTTCTCAGTATCTCCCTGCATCTCTCTCCTAGTATCTCTCTCAGTGTCTCTCTGTATCTCTTTCTGTCTCTCTCTCTCCATATTTCTCGTTTATCTGTCTCAGTATCTCTGTCTCTCTCAGTATTTCTCTCTGTCTCTCTCTCTCTAGTTCTGTCTCTCAGTGTTTGTCTCTCTCTGCCTTCCCCCCTCAGTATCTCTCTGTGACTCTCTCTCTGTATCTTTGTATCTCTCTACATCTTTCTTTGTCTCTCTCTCCCTGTCCCCCACCTCCAGTATCTCTCACTGTCTCTCTCAGCATCTCCCTCGCTCTGTATCTCTCATCCTCTGCCCCTCATGCTTACAACCTTCAGGCGTGATCTGGGATTCTTCCCCAAACGCCCCTGTTGGGCGGGCGCCAGCAGCCTCTTGGCGCGCCCGGGCAGGCGTTGGGCTGGGAGCTGCGTGGTGCGGTGGTTCTCAGGCTGCGCGCGGGAGTGCCGGCACCTGGCACCCAGCACCCAGCACCCAGCACCCAGCACCTGGCACCGGCTCAAGCCAGGAGCTTTCAGACCACTGTGAGGGGCAGGGCCTCCTGCGAGCAGCCCGGTACTATGTTTTGAAAAATACTTTGAAAACACTTGGCTACCCTAACAATGTGAACAAAAATAATTCTTTTTCTGCCGAAAAGGTGGAAGAGTCCTTTCTGGGCAGGAGATGTAGGCTTGGGGAGGCCGACCCTACCCTCGGAAAGAGAGCGTGGCAGGAAAGAAGCTGCCATGGAAGGGAGGCCCTGGGAGGGGTCCATGGGAGGAGCCTAGGGGAGGGTGTCACAGAGGGCACGGAAGGGTCTCTTGTGCGTAACACTCTCTGAAGACCCTCAGTGTCCACACCTAGATGACCTTCCTGGTGGACGGTCCCCCGGGGGCAAATGTGGCCAAGCAGCAGGGTAGTTTTTCTGCTTGTTTGTTTCTTGCTTTTTAAATTGATATACTTTGTTTTTTTAAGAGCAGTTTTAGGGGTACAGAAAAATTACACAGGGTCCAGAGAGCCCCTGTGTAGCCCTTCTCCCCTGTGTGCTGTCTCCCTTATTAACGTCCTGCGTGCGTGTGATACATTTGTTACAACCTGCTGAAACCAGGTGGCTACTTCGTTACTAACTCAAGTCTCCGGTGGGCAGGCGCGCTCTCTGTGCCCCACAGCCCTGTGGGCTTTGACAGGTGCACCCTGTCATGGGTCCCAGGCTATTTTCAGTAATTCGGGGACTTTGTCCTCCTGTCCTCAGGCTAAGACCAGCACTGTGACCCTGAGCCAGACTCGCCTTTTGCTCAAACGCCTTGGTGGCCTCTCTGAACCCCAAGCCCTGGGAAGCAGGGCTGCAAAAGGAGGTCACCTTGTGTGGGAGGAGGCAGTGTTGCCCCGTAGTCCCCAAGGGTCCCTCAGGGCCTCCAAGGAGGACGTCCCTGGTGGGCCACGCCTGCCTGTAGAGGCCCTTGTTAGGTGGGGCCATCCCCCGAGTCCTGGGCCCAGAAACACAGGCTGATCCTCCTCGTACCCCGCTGGCCCTAGCGAGTACCCGCTGCCCCTCTCGTCCCTCCTCACCAGCCCTGAGTGCGTGCCTCTAATGACTGTCCTTTTCCTCTCTGCCCCTTGCCTCTTCCTGCTCCAGGCAGCCCAGAAGGGACCCATGAGGAAGGTAGGTGGGGTCCAGGACCCCCGCCCACACCCGGCTCTCCCAGCCTTTCTGCCCCGATTTGCATCCCAAGTGTCCCCAACATGCCTGCCTGTCCCCCACTCATCCTGACCCCCGTCACCCTTTGCCTCTAAGGATCTGCCGTGTGCACCTCCTTGTCTAACCCTCTCCTCTCTCCTCCTGCCACCGTACACCTGGCGCCCGTCGCCTGCAGAAGTCCATGAAGAAGGTACAAGACAAAGGACTTCTGACCCCATGTGGGGCCTAGGGCCTGGCTGGAGCCTGACCCGGGGTGGGGGTGGGTGCAGGAGCGGGGAGGCAGCAGGGCATCCAGCCGGCCGAGGGGCCCCACATGTGGCCCCAGAGTAACCCACTAACCATGGCCACTGCTTGACCAGGTAGGGTGGGGACCCCAGGCCAGGGCAGGGCCAGTCAGATTCCACAGGCTGCGTCAGGGGCTTCTACCAGATTCCAGCTTGTGCCAAGCTCCCAGGGGCTCCCCCAAGCTGGAGGGAGCTGGGCTGCAATGGGGAGGGCGTCTCCAAGCCAGGGGGTTAGGGCCAGCAGGGACCGTGGCTGAGCCCCTGGGGCATGGTCCAGACTCTCTGTCTCCCAGACTAACCCTCCAGCCAGCGGCGAACTGAGGAACCCCAATGGTCAGGACCCCCACACAACCCTCTGGGAAGCCTGGGTGATGGAGAGAGAGAAGGCAGATGGGAAGGGGGCATGCTGGGCCAGACGGCTGTGCTCCCAGGGCGAGGTCTTCATCTGTGCCCCAGCCCAGCTCAGCCCCCTAAAGGGTTGTGCCCCTTTGTCAGCCCCCAGCAGGTATCCTTGTCACTTCAGCGCCACCCCCTCCAACCCATCCCAGAGTCCCTTTCCTTGGGGTCTGGGCCCAAAAGGCAGCTGGGCCAGAGTGGGTGGACACAGGGTAGGACCAGCTGGGGCCCAGCTTCCCTGAACTCCTCATGGCATGACACAGGCAGCGGGGAGGATGGACGGGAGAGCTCCTGCAGGGTAGGAGATGGAGGGAGTCCTGGGCATGCCCCTGCGCCCCCTTTTCAGCTCTGCTTCCCTGGTTACAGGCCCTGAGCCAGGCGCAAGGGGGCACACGCGTCGAGGCCCTGGCGCTGTTGCCATAGCCCTGCCTGGACGTCCTTTCCGGGGGGCAGGAGCAAAAGGAGGCACGGGGGTCCCCAGACTCCCACCCTGATATGGCCTTGACAGGAGATGTCACTGCAAAAAACAAGAGCCGATTCCAAACAGCACCTTTGAGCCTCAGTTTCCCCATCTGCCAGGCGGGACGGGGCGGGGGGTGGACTCTGAGAGTGAGCGGCGCGACTGGGGACCTGGGTAGGGTGGCGCCCCAGGCTGGCACTGACTACTGACTGTCTCTCGCTCGCTTTCCGCATGCCCCCCACTCCCACCTCGCCGCGACCCTCCGAGTGGCAACGGGCTGCTCCATTAACCTGGAAATCCTTCTCCTTTGACCTCTGCCCCGTGGTCTTGCTTCTTGCTCCATGGCCCTCCTTAGTCTATGAAGTTCATAAGCCAGGTATGTGACGTGGCTTCACTTCCGTGTGGTACGTGTGCACACATGTGGCCATTGGTGGTGTGTCCAGAAAGGAACAAGAGGGGCCGCTTAACCTACTCATGCTCTGGACAGCTCAGGCCCCTCTGCCTTCCTGCATCCCCTCCCCGCCTGACGGTTCCCCGGCACGTTTTCACAGCTGTCCTCTCTCCCTCCCCTTCTCTCTCTCTGTGTGTCTCCACAATGCCGTTCTGCAGAGGAAGTTCCGGAAGGTATGCATACAGAGGGCGAGGGTGCTTGCGTGACTGGCCCAGACCCCCAAAGCCCCTGCTGCTTCCTCCCCCTCTCCCCTCTCCTCCCCCCCTGCTCCTCGTCACCACTGACCACAGTGCCCACTCTGGCCTGTGGGCTGGGGCTGGAATGGGACCTGCTGGGCCTGGAGGGAGGGATGGTTTGTGCAGGACTGGTTGATGGAAGGCAGCCTCCCTTCTGGCCTCTCCTGGCAGAAATGGCTGAGGACCAGGGGGGGCTTCCCGGGCCACCAGCCAGGAGGGTACAGTGGCTAGCTTTAAAGAGTGCAGGGCCCTCAAGAAGGGCGTGGGCTCTGGGAGGATGGTGCTGGGACCTCCTGATCCACCAGGGCAGGGTGGGGAAGAGTAGAGGAGTGGTGGAGCAGGCGGCCTCCACCCTGCCCCAGATAGCAAGCCAGAGGCGGGAAAGTCAGGAGGGGCGAGGCTGCAGGGAGGGCGGAGGAGCAAGTGGGGTGAAGAACAAAGTCGGCTGAGGCCCGAGGTGGGAATGGGGACCAGGAACTGCCGGGGGCTGTGCGTGCAAGCACGCAATCAGTCACATCGAATCCCAGCCATTGCTGGGCCAGAGCCAGACACACCCAGTGTGAGGAGGCCTGGGTGGGCCTCTCTCCCGCTGCAGTGGGGCGGCTGTACCCAAGGTGGGGGTGAGGAAGCTGCGGGTTCAAGGGCTTGGGGCCCGAGGTGGGGGTTTTTTTTTTAGGCTCCTATTTGCGTGCCACCTCAGTGGGGCCCAGAAATACTCCCCCTCTGCCCTGCATGGCCTGGGCAAGGGTCTTCACCTCCCTGGCCTCGGAGAGGCTGTCTGCCCAGCAGAGGGTTGACAGGTGGACACTCAGACAGTGCAGGTGGAAGATGCCGACCTGCTAGAGGTCATGGAGATGGGGCAAGGTCATCCCCGAGCCAGCACTGGGACCTCCACTAAGCCCTGGCCGTGCAGCCTGGCTGGAGCTCTTTGCTGCTCAAGCTGTATGCCTTGGCCTCCCAGTCCACTCCCTCCGCCAGCCCCAGCCCAGGCCTCCGTGGACCCCAGAGGCCTCAGCCAGGTGCTGCTCTGGCAAGTCCCAGGAATAGGAGCAGTCCAAACGCTCCAGGCCATTTGTCCCCCTCCTGGACAGCTCTGGCCCCTTTGACGGGTTTCTGCTCCCTGTGGCCCCACCCTCAGGTGTCAGGGGAGAGTGAGATCAGGCCACCTGCAGGGCCGAGCACCAGCCAGAGAGGTGTTGGCGAGTGTGTGGCGGGTTCCTAAGCCCCCGCGTGATCCATGAGCCGTGGGGAGGCCACGTGCAGGCTGGGAGGGGCTCTGGCCAGGCTGGCCCCCCAGGAAGGGGCCTTGTGCATTGCTGTGGAGGCGGGGGAGGGTTCCTGGGCCTGGCTTTACTGGGTTCAAACAGAGTGGGGGCAGGAACCCCACACAGTTGAATAAGTCTTCTTTCTACTGGCTGAGAGGAGCTTGAAGGGCACGGTAGGCCACACTGGCCTCCTGCTTGTGTCTAGGGGGCCAGGCCAGCCCAGGCAGGCCAGCTGGCGTCCAGGGTCTGGGGGCTCTGGCCTGAAGACAGGCCCTCACCCCAAGGCAGGCCTGGAGGGGCAGCGTCAGCAGGGGAAGGGTCCCAGCCAATCGTAAGGGTCAGAGGGCCCGCCGGGGAGAAGGAAACCCCGTCTTCAGGGTGAGAAAGCTGGGACCCAAGCTGGGGGCCCTAGTGAACGTTCAGGCCACGGGTGGGGGCCAGCCTGAGGGCCCTCTCGGGCTCCTTACAGGGCAGGGAGCTAAACACAAAACCATGTGGGATGGCCCTCGGTCCCGAGAACCAGGGGACTCTGCTAGCCCAATTGCTGACTGAGTCACTGAGTTTCAACCCAACACAACCCAACTGACCTCGAAGCTGCCCTTGGGCCTGCACCCTTACCCCAGCTCAGGGGCTCCAATCTAGGGGAGTCACCACTTTCCAAGAATGGCCCTCCCAGCCCCACGGGGACGGCCTGTGTCCAGGCCACTGCCACAGGCACCCCTGCATCCAGGCCTTCCCCGGGACCCAGCTCTTCCATCCTCCCCAGCTCGGGGCACTAGTGGGCAGGGTCCGCGGGAGGGCTGGGCGCCGCCTCTGCACGGCCTTTCTCTTGCATATCCGCTTGCGCCCCGAAGACGCCGGGGAGGAGGAACCAGAGGAGGACGAGGAAGGTAAGGCTGCTTGTCCCGCCGCCGCTGCGCCCGGACCCTCGGCTCTGCTGGCTCTGCCCCTCCACAGCCCTTCCCGGGGGACAAGCCCAGCATGGAGATGGAGAGGACCCCAGTCTGTCGCTCCCCCTGCCTGTCTGTCCATCTGCCTATCTGTCTGTCCCTTGCTTCCCCCAGCTGGCTGAGCCCCAAGCTTCTGCCCTGCACAGAGAGGGTGGCCCATGGGGATGACCAGAAGACCAGGACAAACCAGTACCCGAGAAGGAGCGAGACCTCCCCCTTGCCTTCTCATCCTAAGTCCCCTTCTCGGCTCCTCCGAGTCCTTCCCCAACAGGCCTTCCTCCTGCTCCTTCAACATCACCTTCATTTTCTTCCTGCCTCCCTGTCTTCATCCTTCCTCCATCGCTTCCTGTCCCTTCCTTGAGGACTCTACTTCCCGCTTCTATTTCTTTCTTCCCCTTCATCTCTGTTTTTTCTCCTTCCCCGTCTGTGTTCTGCTTCCCATACCCCGAGCTGGCTTCGGGCCCCACCAGGGGCTTTCTCAGGCCTGGAGTGGGGATCAGACCCTCTAGTTCCTCATGGGCTGGGTTGGGGGTTGGTAGGCCCAGCTGGAGAGGCACCTGGTCTCATCTGCTCTCTCTCCCCCTCTCCCCACACTGGTGCTGCTATGTCCAGAGGAGAAGCCAAGACCCAGGTGAGTGGGGGGCAGGGCAGTGTGGGTTGGGGCTGGGGTGTGGGGCTGGAGCCCCTGCTTGAAGGAAAGCCGAGTGTGCAGGACCAATGGGGAGTGGACATCCCAAAGGGGAGGGCCCCCAGCTCCCAGAGGAAGAGCAGGCGCCCGGCTGTCATGGAAGCCGAATAGGAGGCCCAAGCTCCCGATGGGACGTGACCGCTCCTTTGTGCCTCACTTTGGTGTTTAAAATTCTAGATGTCTGACGAAGGAATGTGCTTTGGGACGTCCACACACCAGGGTCACGTTGTACCTGGGTTCCTCACCCTTAGGGGTCCAGTCAGAGTGTGGGTCATCCAGGGTGGTCAAGGAAGACTTCCTGGAGGAGGAGACCCCCCAGAGCTACTGGCCAAGGAAGGCAGGGGTGCAGCCAGCTGGGGAGAGACTGTTGGGGGCCGAGGGGGCAGAAAGAGCAGAGCCGGGGGCTCCCCTTGCCTCATGGGCCTCACTGTGCCTGCAGTACTGCAGGGCCCTCTGAGGCCCTCAGTGTGAAAACAGATACAAAAGGGGGCTGGGGGTGGGTGGCGGAGATACCCCCGTGAAAACCCACTCAGAATGACCCGTCCCTGAGGTTCACATTGACTGAGTCCGTGTCCCTGCCTGGGGCTGCCGGAGTCCCTGTTCAGAGTGATTCTTCCGGGAGGGTCTCTCCCCTCGTTGCCCGACTTGTGATGCGTTCAGAGGTTCCTTTTTCGCCCAACTATTCTGACTTCTCTGCTCTTAAGTGATTTCGAGTCCAAAGCCCTCCACACGTGATTCATTCCTTTATCCCTCGGAGTATTCTTGCCTGCTCTTCACGCTGCGCAATCTGGGATTCTAAAGCAAACGCGCCCACGCCCAGCGCTCATTCCCACTGACGCCCAGCGCTCCTTCCCACTGAGCGAGCGAGGCATGGCCGTGTCCGGGAAGAGCTAAAGATGGAAGGGGCGGCCAGCTCACCCTGCACCTTCCTCTTCGGCGATCTAAAATAAAGCCATACAGATCACAAGATATTTTCTAGCTCGGAAACACGGTTTGTGTTTTCACTATGAAAACAGAACACCTCATTAAAGGAAATTTGGAAAATACGTCGAAGTCTAATGAAGGAAAAAAAAAGCACCCCCGATTCTCCCACCCAGCCAGCCAGACTGTGGACGAGTGGAAAGAAATAAAAAGCTTTTTTTTTTCTTCCCACAAGTTTTCCATGCATGGGGCTTAAAAAAAAAAAAGGTTCAAACGTTGTGCTGTTTTTTAAACATCGCCCTGTCTATACGACCTTGAATTCTGCTTTTCTAAAATATAGCACTACTCAGAAGTATTTTTCCATGTTTTTACATCGTCTTCTTAAATATTTTGAATGGCCACATAGTATTCCATCCATCGGGCAAACCATAGTTTTCCTAACCGTTCCCCTATTGGGGGCCATGAAGGCTTGCCCCAATATTTTACTATCATAAATGACGCTGGGTGGGAGGCGTTTTCTGTCCTTGGGGTTATTGCCCTAGGCCGCCGGCCCAGAACTGGAATTACTGGGTCAAAGAGTATGAGCGTTCTTAAGGTTTTTGACGTCCTTTGCCAAATTGCTTTCCATGAAGGCCCTGCCAAGGCCTCGACGTGGCGTGCGAGGGCGCCTGTGCACACACCCACCGCTCCACGGACAGCACCCCGCTTTCAAATCGTAGCCCTTGATGCAGAGCGATGCCTTCTCTGGCTGTTTTCATTTGCATTCCTATGACTTCTGAGAGGGAGAGCCCCTGCCCCCCTGGCTGGTAACTGCTTGGCTGTCTTTGGGGAGAACTGGTAATTTATGCCTGAGCTCACTGATCTACCGGGCTGGCGGCGGCAGCGGCTATGGTGGTGTCTTTCTGTTTTCCTCTATCATCCGTTTGCTTAAGGATATTAAATCTTCCGTAGATTCGCTGAAAATAGTTTTCTAGTCTTTTTTTTTTTTTTTTTGCCTTTCGATGTTTGCCTTTTTTCACATACAGAACTTTTTCATTTGTATGTAGTCATCTAGACATCTTCCCCTTTCTGGGACCTTCTGGTCCTTCGGAGCTTAAAAAACACATTTCCTCGCCAGCAGTTCGATTACTTTCTTCTACGGATGATTTTTTAATTTTTTTGATTTTTTAACATGTTGTTGTTTTAACTGTTTAATCTAGCTGGGATGTATTGCAGTAGGAGGGGACCAGGCTGATGGCCGGATGGTCAGTGATTCTTCAAAGCGCTCTGTTCTCAGCCCGCCTTCTTTCTTTCTTTGGGGTCAAAGAAATGCAAGGGGCTGCACCTGACCACAGAGACCTCCTAGCCGCCCGCTGCCCCGTCTCCACTCCAAACTGGTCACCTTTGTTTCTTCATGTGAGGAAGAAACCCAGAGTCCCTTCCTTGGAGAGACGGGTTTAAACAACACTGAGGTGTTCAGAAGTTGGCAAGACAGAGAAGGACACTAGGAGGTTGAAACATTCCTGAAAGAGTCAAGCCACTCCCTGGACGGTGGATTATATACCTGATAAGGACAAAGCGTGAGGGCGCCAGGGCCAGCCTGGGCTGGGCTCAGGTGGGCCAGGCTGACCCTTGTGGGGTCTCAAGCTAGCTCTGCTCCTGAGCCTCTCTCTCCCTCTCTCTTTCCTTCAGACTCACTGCTCCTAAGATCCCAGAAGGGGAGAAAGTAGACTTCGATGTAAGTTTGTGGAACGCAGGTCAGCACGGTCTCCCCTCTGTCCCCCGCCTCCAGCCCCAGACTAGGCCTAAGAAGGTCACCCGCTCTCTCAAGCACCCAGAACTGGGACTTCCTGGTCTAGTCGATTCCACCTTAGTACATTCCTGGGCTGGAGGAAACCCCTCCAAGAATAGACATTATTGTTTCTTCCTCCCCCACCCATCCACCCATCCATCGATCCACCCATTCACCTACCCATCTATCATCAATCCATCCATCCATTATTCCATCACCTATCCACCTATACATCTAGCCACCCATCCATCCACCCACCCACCCACCCATCCATCCATCCATCCATCCATCCATCCATCCATCCATCCACCCATCCACCCACCCATTCATACATCCACCTACCTACTCATTCATCTAACCACCCGTTTATCTATTCACCCACCCATTCATCCATCCATACATCCATCCATCTGTCCATTATTCACCACTCACCATCCACCCATCTATTTACCCACCCACAAACTCACCCTCTCATCTTCCCGGCTCATTTATCCATCTATCCATCATCCACACACCTACCAACTCACCCACCCATCTACCCACCCATTCATCCATCCACTCATCCATCCACCCATTCATTCACTGAACCACCAACTCACCTACCAACCCACCCATCCATCTACCCACTCACTCATTCATCCATCCATCCATTATCCACCCACCCACTCATTCATCCATACATCAATCTACCCATCCTTCCTTCCTTCCATCCATCCATCCATTCACCCATCCCTTCATACGTCCACCAACCCACCCACCCATCCATCCATCTACCCATCAATTCATTCATTCACTCACCCATTCATCCTTTTGCCTATCCATCCATCCATCCATCCATCCATCCATTCACCCATCCATTCATACAGCCACCCACCC